AGCATTTCTCTTGCTCTTGAGCTTCAGACCTCTTCCAGTGATAGTTTACCCGCACATATCAACTCGCAGCATCAGCATTCAGGCGTTCATCTTCAGGCCTGCGGGTTAACCAAGTCGCAAGACCATCTCGCAGCATCCAGAGCAGCTTAGACCACTTCGCATTCCGGAGAGTGTAACTCCTATGAGACTTGTCCGAATTGAATGATTTTGGTTGCAGAAGACAGAGGACTCATTTATCTCCAACTTTGGTGAAGGAAGCTTCGGTGCTTGGGAAGTGTAAGGCTTCCTGGAGGGCACATCTTTGCAGTGCATGTACGCGACCAGAGAGAGGCGTCTAGACATGTGTCCATTCCGGAGACCGTATCTTTCTGCTCATAGATCTGAATTGAATGCTCTTGGACGTTCTGGAAAGAAACTCAAATGTCTCTGGTTCTCATGAAGGACCCGGAAACTAAATCGGCCTGGAAGTGCACCGTCCTTCGCATCCTTTAGGACTGATCTGCTCGGTCCGGAATACCTGAGAGACTGGGGTTCCTTCCGACAAGCTTATCTCTCTGCTCACGCGTCCGAATTCCACGATTCTACTTGCTAAGAGACCGTGATGCAATGCTCTCCAACTTCTATGAAGCACCCGCCGTCTGAATCGGACCGGAAGGCTCCCCGGACAGGCGATTTCTGAGACACGTTCATACCCGGAGATTTTGGCCGATACACTTCATTCGCGGTACATGAAAATGGCCGGTAAAGCTTCCCGCGGTACATGGAAATGGCCGGTAAAACCTTCCTGGCCAGCGAGAATGGCCGATAATCTCCCAGGACCCAATTTTTCCACTTTTTCAAGCTTTGCTCACCATTCCACCTCCTGGATTCATCTTTTCAGCTCCACATTCACCTGATAGACACTCAAAACATGCAATAGACTGATTGGGACCTAATGCATCTCCTAAGTTCTAAAACAAACCCTAAGGACCTAAAATGCATGAAATAAAACATGATTTGGAATGATTTATGCAACCTAAATGATGCAAATTATGAACATATCACTTAATGAACAAATGACATAGATAGTGTCTCGTTTACAAGCTTGGATTGACACCCCTTTGTACTACTCTGACAGGGGATTGATAACCCTTATTAAGGCTTAAAAACCTTAGTTATCATAGGGCTTTTTCAGAAAATAATGATAAATCAGAATCATTACCTGATGATGATGAATGATTTAGCAAGAGATTTAATATTTTACTCGAAAGTTCTTCTCCAAGGCCGAGTTCTTGGATTTTTCTGTTAAAACGCCAGAATTTTGAAATGTGACCCTTTTTATTACATTTGAAGCAAGTGAGATTTTTGTAGAATGGCTTAGAGTTTGTTATTTCTTTTGGAGTAAATCTCTTACGAGGTTTTTGCCAGGAATTTTCGTGAGATTTATGATTTCTATAGGTTTTAAAGTATTTTCTAGGCTTATTTTTAGAGTAGTAAGAATTACTGCAATCTCCTATGCAGGACATACTATTTTTGCTGGGATCAATTTCGAATTGCCTACAAAATGAGCCTAATTCTACTTTTGTTCTTTTGAGTTCCCATTTAAGATGTTTCTGGAGTTTTAGATCTTGACAGATCTTGAGACCTTCTTGTTGAACAATACTGATCAATTCTCCATAAGTGAAATCATCATAATCAATTATTTGAGTTCTCGTGGAATCTCTAATTTTATTTCTAACTTTTTCTCCTAGAAGGGTTGGAAGTCCTGCGAGGAATTTTTCTTTCCAAAAAGGTTGGTTTGAATCTTGGCGGAGTAGAACCCTAGTAAGGAAAGTGTTTTTGTAACATTGGAAATCACTAAGCCTTTTGCATTTAAGGTTTGAAAGGAGCTGAGGGATCTTCTATAAAATGCAAGGTTATGGCTATAACTAAGGTGGCTACAGCATCTTGTTGGGGATTTCCAAAATTATCTAGTATGGGCATGTTATCCTCATCCGTTTTGACGGCATCTAGAATTTCTGAGAGTTGCTGATTGTTTAGGTAGTTATCCCACCATCCTTTAAGCTGGCCTGAAAAACCAGCAATTAGGAGCTCAGCTACGGTTCTATCTTCATTTCCTACTTGAGTTCTGTAGGCGTTTGCAGCCATAGTCATCTTTTGTAGGAAATTGAAGATATTGTACTCAGATATTCCATCGATATTCCAGTCATAAACTGAAGATGAATTGAACCTAGATTGTTCTATTGTCTGGATTTGACCTAAGTCAGGAGCAGAGATTATTTGATGATCTTGATGGTTTTCCCGACCAAGGCGGTTAATCTCAGGGGTTGAATTTTGCTCAGAGGTTTCACTAGAATAGGATTCATTTGCTAGAGTATTTATCTGGGCTTTAGAAGTAGGAGTATCGGGAATATCGGATTCCTAAGGCGTGCTATTTTCTCCTATGTCTATCTTACTTAGTTGGCTTTAAAGAGCATGAATGAATTATTTATTCGTCTCTTGGTAGGTTTTGACACTAGAGCTTGAAATTTGAAAAGGTTTGAATATGGGTTTTATTTTTTTCTTTTCAGAGGTAGAATCTATTGAAGTGATAGGTTGATTTTGAATCGATTTTTCGATTCTATCAAGCTGTTTGCCTATCGTTCCAAGGTTCGTATTTGAAAAATTATTTTGGACGATGATATTTTTGATATTAGTCTTATCATCATCTTGGAGACGTTTAAAAGGAATCGCTTCAATTGGTGTTCCCAATAATTCAAGCTTGATTCCCTGTTGAGGGGGGTGATTGGAACGGATAATTTTTCCATTGGCAAGGGTTTCCCATTCAGGGGTTTTATTGCGAGTGGTGATAGGATTCACAGTTTTAGAAAAAGGAAAATTGATACTGTTTTTGAATGCATAGTATTCAAACCAATTGAAAAATAAAATTTGTACTTTATGTTTATAGAGATATTTGTAAAACTCTTCTTGGATTAAATTTCTATTCTTTAAAAAGTTTTGAAAAACCAAAGTCTTTTTTGGGTGTTATTTTTAGAGTAAAATTCATCACATAAAAACTCTTTATCGATTTGAAAATCTTTTTCTAAAACATTTAACTCATTTATCATATTATCTGTAACAGCTGAGAAAGTAGGACTTGTTGGCTCCGATTTTGGAGAAAAGTCATTATGTTGAAAACTACTTTCTGCTTTGTAAACATGTTTTGGGATTTGTGTTCGAAAATCAACATTTCTTAAAAAAAAATTTGGAATATCAGAAGTTGAAAACCGTGGTTGGAATTTTGGCCAATTTTCCATTCTGGAAAAATCTTGTGCTAATTGTGAAACTCTTCCTAGATCAATAGTTTCAGGAAGAGAAGAAGATTCACATGTGTAATCATCTATCGTTTCATGATGATTTCGTATGAAAGAAAGTTTTACCTTTCCATCATGAAATTGTTCAATATGTTTTAAACGTGTATTTGGCTCTAAAGGTTCATTAGGTTTTGTAGGTTTTGGTTGGACAACTCCTTCAACGACCCATTCATCAGGAAGATTTATTTCTTTCCATTGAATAGATCTTGGAATTACGGAGTTGGATCTCGAAAGATCTGTTTGTAGTAAGAGGGTTTCACCCTTTTTACTCAAAGTTTTTACTTTTGAAGAGAAAGCACTCATCATGGCTTTATAATGAACTCTAAAAATTATAGCAATTGGAATAGATCCTGCGATCATTTCATAATTGTGAGTTTTAACTTGTAAAACTAGAGATTTTAAGATATTTTATCTTTTAAAGATACTGTAAAATTTGGATAACAATCAAATGAAATTGGACCAGTACACAAACTTGATTCAATAGAGATTAATAATGAATCTTCAAATATTTTAAATCTTGTATCTCGTAAAATAGATAAAATAGAAGTGTTTAATCCTTCTTTTGAAAGTGGTTTAATTCCAACTTGAACTAAACCAATATGTATATATTTAAAACCGTTTTCTCTATGTCTTTTTAGAGATTTTTCAGAAAACAAATGGATTGTTTCAAAAGGTTTTGTAAGTTGTATATCTCGTTCTTCAGTTTTAATTGAGTAATCAGTTTTTAGAAAATTTATTTTGAGATTTGACAAATTTGTTCTTTATGAACTTTTGGAATTTCCCAATTATCAATTGAACCTTGGAAATCATCTATAGTTGTTTCATGACTAGTGATGATGCCATTTGAGTTTCTAAGAGACTTACTATCAGATCTAGAAGAAGACGTAGACTCGGACCTGTTTGATGTTGATCTTTTAAATAAACTCATTTTTAGTATATTAAGAAAAATGTTTTATGACTCCTTACAATCCTGTCTAGTAACAAATGGGACTTACAACCCTTTTTTAGACTGGCTAAAACACTCCGGAGACTTAAAGTTTTTTTCCCAAAAACTAACAATGATATTTAATAAAAGATCACAAAAAACTTAGACCTAAGACTTTTAATAAACCAAAATCTTTAACTATCTCTCTCTTACCCCGAATCATTAGCATGGCTCTGATGCCATAGTAGAAATAACTTTTATGTTATTTCTTTAATTATTTATATATACTAGGTGGCTGGTTCGCGCCCTGCGCGGGCTGATGCTCTTCAAAAGTTTTTTTAGTTTTGAATAGAATACCCAAACCACATTTTGAACAGTTTTTTGTGTTTTAAATTTAATATTCGAACCATATTTCGAAAGTTTGTTGAGTTTAAAATGTAATATTCAAACCATAATTGGAAGCTTATAAATTGATTTGTATAATGTTTAATATATATACTTAAAAAAGCATATTATAACAACTGATCATTTACTAATTTTTTAATTCAAACAAACAGAGCTATTCAAAACGTTATCATACTCAACACTAATTCATAATATAAGAAGATCCAAAAGATAAATCAGTTAAATATAACAAAATTTAAAAGATAAAACAGTTTAAAAATACCAATGACCACCAAAATATTATAACTAATATCCAATGTAATCTAAACATACTTTTAGTAGCAAACAAAACAACCTATTCAAACCAACCGCGAATTTCTATAAATGTTTTCAAACACAACTTTGTAAACAACATTCATTGTCTTCTTTCGTACTTTGCCATTCTTATCTGTAATAAGAATCTTCAACCCTTGGCGTGATGTAACTCTAGACACGGCGACATAAAGTTGACCATGCGAGAACACTGGCTTTGACAAATATAATCCCACCTTTTGTAGAGTCTGACCCTGACTTTTGTTTATAGTCATAGCAAAAGCTATGTTAATAGGAAACTGCCTCCGGCGCATTCTAAAAGGAAACCTTGCTTCTGGTGGTGACACAAACATTCTAGGTATGATAACCTTTTTTCCTATTTTCTTCCCGGTTATACGGCTTGCCTCGATTACATGCCTAGCTAACCGAGTAATAAGCAACCTCGTACCATTACAAAAACCACCCTTAGGATCAATATTTCTAAGCAACATTATTGGAGCTCCTATCTTTAACTTGAGAGAATGATTTGGCAGCCCTGATACCTTTATACTATTAAGATACTCCTGTGTATAGACGACTTCGTCTATTTTGCTTGTGTCTGAAGTATCAATGCTATCAGCACTAAGGTATTCATGTTCCTCACCTAATAAAAACAATTCAAACTATGTTAGTACTGATATATTTTAATTATAATATAAATACGTATTAAAAGGAATTGTGATAAATCATATAACGAAGACCTTTGAGTTCTGATATCATGAATTCATTGATAACGTCGACATCCTGATTCCGTGGACTGAGTATTGCCCTTTCCTGAAAAAAAACTGGTTCACGAGTGGTTGTGTAAGATTGACCATAAATCTCTGAGACTATTCTCTTAACAGGATCACCTTCTCCGCTTATCAGCAAATCCGCTGGAATTTCTAATTCATCTTCTATGGTATCATGAATATTTAGTTTTCCATCACCAATATCCAAGATCCACTTGGCGAATTCTTCTATTTCTTGATTATTGAAATCATTATCGCCACGAAGCAGTCTCATATTTGTCTTTAGCTGCAGAACTTTGCAATCAGACCAAATATGAGAAGAATTCACAGTTGCCCATATAGTCTCTGAGCTATTGCCTCCGACAATAACAGGGAGTATTTGTCGAAAGTCACCACCCAAAACAACGACCTTTCCACCAAAGACCTTATCACACTTTAGTATATCACGCATAGTCCGATCCAATGTCTCAAAACAATGCTTGCTCATCATCGGAGCCTCATCCCATATAATAAGATCGGCTGCTTTAATCAGCTCTACTTGGTGTGATCCAGAACTCACATTACAGAATGTATACTCATTCACAACTATGGGTATTCCAAACCGAGAATGCGCTGTTCTTCCTCCCTCTAATAACAATGCTGCAATGCCACTTGATGCAACATTGAGAACTGTTTTTCCTTGAGAACGAAGAGCAGCGCCTAAAAGCCTCCATAGGTACGTTTTACCTGTCCCACCATATCCATAAACAAAAAACATTCCACCGATACCTCTTGTAACTGCATCCATTGTCTCATTGTAGATATCCTTCTGTTCATTGGTTATTGTTGAAAACAACTTGACATGATCGTTTGCAAGTTTTGCACGATCGTATGATTTCTCATCCCGGATTAGATGATTTGATTTCTTATACTTTCCAATATCATCAAGGACTGGCATCTCTCCTTTATAGTCGGATAATGAATGACCGTTTCTGCGCATATACTTCTCTATATCTGGCAAACCAAGATTCTTATATTGGGCTTCAGTCAACACCAAACCTAGATATACAAATAAGTCTGTTAGCAACTAAGATAATGTGAATCTTGTAAAATAGTTTAAAATTTCAAATCCATCTTACCTGGGTCATTCTCTTCACGCCTTTTCTGATATAAGAAATCCTCAGTTAATATTTTTAAAGTAGCATTCCAGACGTTGATCAGAACTGCTACACTACTCGAAAGAAGCATTATAGCAAAAAAGTTTACGAAGAAACTTTCCAGTTCCCCAAAAACTGGCCTCTTTAATTCCTTCGATGTATTCTTTATCATCGTCTAAAAAACCAAGCGCAAAGCATGCTTCTCGGAAAGAAGAGTATATAATACCATTAACCTTTTTTAAGTCATCAAAACTCTTAGGGCCCTTGACTATATTGAGAAGAATCCTCAAATGATATGCGTCTTCAGCGGAAGGTGAGACATACACCAGTCTGCCTATGGCAAAACCTTGTTTTCGTATTCTCCATTGCCGCTGCTTTGAGACCCAGACGAATTTTGTTGGGAAATCAGCATATGTTAGCTCCTTTGCCAAGGCATGTTCCTTGTTTGCCTCCATCCACGCTAGAAATTGTGACTGACCTATCGATGCCTTGTTTAAGACTTGGTCAACGCTCTCTCCTTCGTGATATATACACATTTGTTTACCAGGCAAATGAAACGAAAGTTGCATTACTGCCGTGGTTCGGTACTGTGTAGGAATCTTTAGAATCCTCCATGAAGATTCATACGGTGAAATGTATCTAAGAATGAGCAAATCAAACAGAAATAAATAATCTTGTTTTTTTTAAATCATACTTAAGTAATTATTCAAGCGATCTAATCTTAAAAATTAGTTTCGCAAAGTTACCTGCAATTGTAATGTTGCTCAACCTCATCTTGGGATATAACGGGGTTACCGTCTTCATCCTCGATTGCTCCTCTAATGTAATCTGGACCCTTGTTTATATATTTGAATAGGTACTTTATAGACCTGGTTTGGTTCCACCACTCAACGTTAACATGTGCCCGAAAACGCTTTAAGAGATCTGGATTATATGGGACAACATATCGATTATCACACAAAACACCCCTCTTCAGAATGGTTCTTTGATCCATACGACGTCTATAGATGGGGAAGCCAGCATCATCGATTTTAGTAACTGATCCAGTAGGCTTAGGAAAGAATTTTGTACACCTTGTCTCATGCATACAAACATTTTTTGGATTGTCATCACCGCATGGTCCATGTATCATCAAGTCTCCAACAATTTCGTACAAAATTGGATCCAAGTCCTTGTCCGGTATCTCTGCTGATATAAATCTATCTATGTCCTCGCCTGTTGGTAGTTTGGATTTGGGTTTCAAGAAAACAACCATGTGGGCATGTGGCAATCCTCTTTTTTGGAATTCAATGGTATACATCGCTGAAATAAAAGTAAAACAATTAGAAAAAGTTAAAAATACATGTAATAAATCGAATTAGTACCTATACTTTAAGTATAAGTTGGCACGATTTATATATTATGACTCTTTACTTATATTTAATCTTTTTGACATACCTGAGTTAACGTGGCCCATAACGTGGTCTTTCGTTAGATAATTCACTAAATTATCGAGCTTCATTTTATAAATCCTGCAACAAATATCTGGTCGATCCTCGATCTTTAGATCATGTTTTTCCAAAAACCTCGTTATCTCAGGCCATTTTGGATTGCAAGTAATTGTTATGAAAAAATCCGGCTATCCGTAGTACTTGCATGTAACATCGCGTCTAGATAATGTTTCCTCATGAATCTCTTACTTCACGTGAATGAAGCAGGTATAAGCACCTTTTTTCCTTGTTCAGAAAGATCATTATTGCCACGTTCACCAGATTGTTCAATCTTATCAAAGCTGTCACACCGTAGCTTCTTTTGATTATGCCATATATAACGAAGCCTATTTGATTCTACCATCGTATATGCGTCAACCAGAAACTGCTGATACAATCTCCCAGACATCATAATGATTTGGGATTCTCCATGCCTGTCTTGAATGCGAAATGCGAAAAACTACCGCATTGTCACGGTTGTGCGTTTCCTTCCAGATGTATCAACATAGCCAATATCAATACCTAATCTAAAACCATCTTCACCATACGGAAACAATAACGGATACTGCAAAGGTAAATAAGCCGGATGCAACTCACTTATACGGTATAAACCTCCAGACTTGCTTTGAATAACGATGTCTCTTTTTTCTGTTAACATATTGAAATCACCAGGTATCAAAGCCGCCACATCGTTCTCAGTAGGTAAGTTATGCGTTCGACTATCAGTAGTTCGGCCACTTGCAAGAACCAACTTAAAACCTTTAGAATTTTGATTCCCAACAAATCGTTCACGTGCAGTTCTTAAGGCTTTAACATGAGGATTATGATCATCTAACATCTTCTTCAGAAGCTCCACGATATCTGCTGTAAGCTTCCTCTAATTACCAACATCCCTGAACAGTCGTTTTGAAACTATTATTATTTATAAAAATGAAACACTATATTGATATAGATAAATAATAATATTATATTATAATAAAAATCGAAGATTACCCATAAACATTCATCCTATTTTTAACTTTGTTGATGGTATCATGGATATATAATTGTAGGAAGTTTGGTTGTTTGCCAGGTGCTGGTAACATATCTCCGATCAAATGATAATTTTCACCACACATTTGGAATAGATATGGACCATTACCGTTGTTTATAGTATTATCAACCTTTCCACCAAGTGACGTAAACGAAAACATCATATTGTATTCTCTTAGGAATTCGCGGAAGTGTTTCCTCGTGTTATCGCGATTATACAATAGCTTTAACAACGTTTTTGGGGGAGCTTTCAATAAAGGTAGCTGAACTTTGCCACTTAGACAGCACATCGTGAAATCAGGAATAGAAGATAGAGAGTGCTTGTTTATACGTTCTCCAAACCACATTAAAGCATGACAATAGTCACACATGTAAGATTGATCACCATCATCATAATAACCTATAATTGATTTTAAAATCTTAAAATATAATAACTTGTATATATACTAATAAAAGGGAATTTGTTTCGATTTGTACCACTTTCCATCAAGCCAAAACTCGCGAATGAATTATATTCAGGATAATTCGGTGGTCTAGGTTTTTTTTGTCTTGGTCGTCGTTTGTTCGAATTACTTGGCGGAACAGCATCTGAATCTTTATCATCGTCCGTGTCCGAATCAGTAGCAACAAAACATAGAACATCATCGACATCAACGGACTCTGTCAATATATCTATAAATTTACACAATCAGATGAAGTTAGTTACATATATTTAATATAAATCAATATAAAATTGTATTTAATCAACATAACCTTTTGAATTATTTATTGTTGGTATACCACGCTTCGATCGAATGATATTCAGTCTGTTTTGTCTGGCTATTTTAGCCATACCAACACGTCCAATAGATTCTATATCAATGTATTGATGATAAACTGATTTTGGTAACGTTGGTGCATACATTTCAGCCCTTGAAACGATTGCTGTATTAAGGATGAATGGTGTTTCAGCGGCATATCAAAAGTAACAATACATGCATTTTTTTCAAAGAAACAGAAACACTTACGACAATTTGCAACAGGTATCTTAACGACCCTAGGTTTCGTTATTCTCTTTTTCTTAGGCCCCATAGTTTCTGATTAGGTTTTCTTTTTCTTTTTTGTACGATATTAAAATACGTGCATGAGAAACACTATTTAAACATATGTAGGGTTTTCCTATAATTTGTAGAGTTTTCTTTTTTTCTTTATTGAAACAAACCTAATTTAACATTTTATGTTTGTCTTTTTTTTTTAGTTTAAGTTTATAAAATATTTAATATTAATAGAATAATCGATATCTTAGATACTTTAACGATTTCATGTGTTAATTTATGAAACTATGATAATATTAAAATATAAAATTGCATATATGCACAAACTGTAATATTCCACAATAAAGTAAGTTGTGTTACTACGCAATTTATATAGAGAGTTAAGTACTTGTTTTGAATTTTTCGTTCTTTGAATCAATAATGCATCCTATAAAAACAAACCGTAAATTCGAATATGCATAAATATCAGTACTAAAGTATATGAAAAACCAAAAAAAAAAAAACAACATCGAGAATTATAAGAATATCAGTTCGAAGATTTCAAAACGTATGTGTTTGTTCATTGCCGTCTTCCTCTCCTCTTGCTATTTCTTTTTTCGTCAACATTAGGCGTTTGAACGGCTGATTCTGAAACTCGTTTTGATACTGGCGATGGTGTCAGTGATGCAACTCTACCTGAGTACCTAAGTTCTAAATCATGTTCGAGGGATCGAATTCCATGGTTTTCAAACTTATTCAACATATCTGCATCATCGACAACGATCTCATCTTTATAAGTTTGACGTCTGTTAGTCAGATTCTCCGTTCCTATTCCGATTTTGAAAAGGAACTTCTTCCCAACCAAATCAGGAAGAGCTCGTGGAAGCACCAAAGTTCCGTCCTGATTAAAATATAAAAAGACATTACACCTAAATAACATAAGATTATATGATAATGTGCACAAAGTATTATAAAATGATATACCTCAGCAACCTCCTCAGCTAAAGTATCTGCTTGAACACGGAGAAATGCGCTAGCGATTTTATCAAACAGTAAGAATCTTATCTCTTCGCCAGACTCGTCGGAAACAACCAACACTAACTTATACCTACGAAAATATGAATATTTGTAAAGCCAAAAATTAAATTTTTTCTAATAACTACTTTGAATCAATGAACCGTTTACCTGGCTATAACATCTGAGACAGCCTCGCCTCATTCTCTACAATCAAATAGCAAGGAATCGTCATCGGTAGAATCAGATTCTATTGGATGAACTGTTTTATCGCAAGTTTTGCATGCAATATAATACCATATAGGATTATATTCGACTCGAACAACTGTCGCAGCAGTAACACATTTCATTTCCTACACTCGAAAAGAATTTGATTTAAATATTAAAAAAACAGATCATTCTCAAATATATAAAACAAATAATTATTATGTATAAATTTAAAATAAAATTAATGAACACGTACCGTATCAGCATAAACAATACCCTGAATTGTCTTTCTTTCATTTCTATCAAAGAATTCATCTTTCCATGAAACAGACTTAGTGGATGATGATTGCACCTTATGTTCATTGGATATCACAAATGTATTGGTTGGCAACCTAACAAAAGACATTCCTTTTAGTATTCATGATAGCTCTAAAAGTATAAACAAACAAACAGATTTCATTACTTACAAGGCTCGAAAATCTTCAATTTGTTTAGAATGTGGATCGAGAAATATCTGTGTTGCGTTGAAAGAGTTTGAAATACTGTAAACTCCTACAAGAAATTAGAAGTAAAGTATTTGAAATTTCTAAAAAAGCGTATATGATAAACTTATTTATATCACAACTATTATCAATACAATTAAGTTCAAATATACCTTTCCATTCTGATACTGAAGCAAATCTAACAACAGACACGATCACAGACGCAGTATTTTTCGGCTCGTAGTCGATTACTTTCTTTCCGAAATTTCCCCACAGCGTACAAGTCAAGCGATTATCACTATACGTAATCAACAAACTAACTAAATTATATATGATTTAACTAAATATTATTTCATAAATTATATCATTATGAAGTCACCTGGCATTACGTAGAACAACGTCCAACTTTCTTATTGGTTTTCCTTGAGCGATAACGTCAGAAGTTTCTTGACTAACAACCTGCCCTATGACATCTACATTAATATTTATAAAGAATTAGTACAGATAAGATGTATTATATCACAGTATAACTCAATAAATATAGTAAACAAAATATATCTAGCATACCTATTAAAACACTGTTGTTATAATCCCCATTACTTATAGTTGAAAATTCCTTAAAATATCTATAAGGAAGTTCCCTAGGAAAGTCATCACAAGGTGTTATAACAGTAGTCCTGTAGAAACTTATTTTAAAAGATAAAGGACTTGTCCTATATGCAGTAGTGTAATCTTTGAACGTGATCTTGTATTCTTCATGTTGAATGGATTAAAGCCATCGGTTGATAGTCCAAGCCTAATGTTCCTTTCTCCAGCAGCAAATGAAGGGAACTTGGCGTCCATATGCTCCCATGTTACTGAATCAACCAGATGACGAAGCTTTCCATCACTGCTCTTATTAGTACTATGCCACCGTAATTCTCTTGCTGTTGCCTCTGACCTAAACATCTTCTTCAGACGAGGAATAATGGGAAAGTATCTCAATACTTTCTGTGGGACACCAACCTTTGGTTCACCAGTGTGCGCATTGGTCTTCCA